TCTTTCCCCTTCAAGCTCCCTTCTCCCTTTTCCTCAATACTTCCTAGCCCTGCCAAATGCTCCATGTGGCTTGGGGTTCTCCTGGCTCTGTGGTACAGGCACGTTGCCAGACAAGGCAGCTGGGGCAGGGACGGCACAGCTCAGTGCCTCCCTTCAGGTCCCCCAGCTGGGCAGGGAAGGGCTGTGCCAGGTCCTGTCCTCCTCCCCATGGGCTCGGTGCAATCCTAGCAAAGGACAGGGTCTGCCCCTCAGGGGTGCTAGAGCACAGAAGCTCCCCAGGGCCAGCAGTTAGAGCGGCAGAGACGCTGCCAGACTCTAAGGAGCACAGGGGCTTCCAAACCCCAGGCCTGGGAAAGGACAGCAGGGGCCCTGGCTGCTCCACCTTTCTTCCCTGGCTGGGGAGAGGAGGAGACCAAGGACCACAAGGTCCCAGAAAAAAAGACCATGGCTGATGGGCCCAGCTGGGGTGCCCCAAGACAGGAACCAGCAGCAAGGGATGGACTGCCACCAGCCACAGCAGACACTGCAAACTCCGGGGCTCCAAGCTTAATCTTACCTGTAGGGGGCTCCTGGCACTAGTTTCAAGGTGGGAAAGGCCAACATAGCGCCCTAGGACTGGAGTGCACAGGGAAGAGGGATGCTGTGACATCCAGAGTGCTGAGATGACCAGGGGACCAGAACAGCAGTGACAGCAGCCAGGGAGGACAACTGACTCTGGAACTGGGTCTTTCCAGGTCCGGGCTCTGGCCTTAGGATGTGGCTGCATGCAGCCGGGGACAGACCTCTGCCCTCCACCCTAATGAGAAGCAACTCCTTGTCTCAGCACAAGCTCGCCATCGTGGTGACTGTGCGGAGGGGAGTTTCGATTCGCCCCATTTGGGTCAACCTCAAAGAGGCTGCTCTAAGTGCACATTCCTGAGTCCACAGAGTGACATATATGGTCAGAGAATCAACAGAGCAGATAAGCAGAGCAGACAGGGCCTGGGGCGGGTAGGAAGAATAGGCAGAGAGCTGCCATCCCAGATCCACAGGCTCTGGGCTCTGAGGTGACGCGACAGCCTCCTGCACACATCAGCGCCCAGAGCTCTGGATGGTAAACGCTGTGCCTAGCAACAACCACCCCGTTCCCAGGGCAACCACACCGATTCAGCGGTAAAAGCTGTTTCAAGCTCCCCAGCCAAAGTCAAGGCGCCAAAGGAAAAAACAAAAACAAAAACAGAAGAACGCTTCCTTCTCTCCCTCGCCTCTGGCCTAATCCACTACCCTCTATTCAACCCCTTGCTTACCTCCAAATACAGGCCCTCCCCAAGAACATGGAGAAGGGTGACCTCCACACATTGGGAGTGCATTTCCTTCAGTGAGTACTGTTGTGCCCCTCACTCCCTTTCCACCTTTAACCCTCTAAGGCATGTGATTTTTGGTCTTAAGAAATGCACGGGAACCAGCAGTTAGCGTAATGGCTATGCCGCTGGACTCCCACGTAGTCGACCGCAGTTCGCGTCCTGGACCCAGTGACTTAAAACTCACGCCAGGCGCGTGTGCGTGCGTGCCCAAGATCCCGAGAGGAGAATGGAGGAGAAGGGATTGCGGCGTGACCATCCCCCCTGGGGGGTGATTTCTCGCTTTCTGTCTCTCTGTCTCTCTCTGTCTGTCTGGCGAGCGCACGCGCCCTATAGCGAAAAACCTCTCCAAAAAAAGAAAAAAGAAATGCAACCCCAGAGACCCGCAGATGGCATAATAGTTACGTCACTGGACTCCCGCATGGTTGACCATGGTTTATTCCCAGACCTGGCGGCTTCTAACTCATGCCAGGCGTATATACGTGAGTGTCCAAAATCCTGACAGGAGACTGGAGGAAAAGGGATTGTGGCTTGGCCATCCCACCTTAGGGGGTGATGTCTCGCTTTTGGTCTCTCTGACTCTCTGGCGAATGCATGCGCCCTATAGCAAAATCTCTCTCTAAAAAAAAAAAAAAGAAAAGAAGCTGCATCATTCAAGCCCAGATGAACTGGACTAGAAAGAAAGAAAGAAAGAAAAGAAAAAGAAAAAGAGAAATACCCCCCTGATCTACAGACATGCTCTGTGAGGGCTGCTCATCACAGGGACCACAGATGGGTAATGGGGGCAGAATCCAGCTCAAAACAACCCCCTTTAGGCCTGGACCTGCTTCCTATCCCTTCTGTTCTGTCTCTGTCCAGGCACCAAGGGGGGCACCTCTCCTTTAACCTCACCAACAGCTATTCCAGACAAGTCTTACTGCACACAGTGGATGTCTGATATGATTTTTTTAAAAAGCATGGGATGGGGACCAGCAGTTAGCGTAATGGCTATGTCTCTAGACTCTCATATAGTTGACCGCAGTTCGAGTCCCGGACGTAGTGGCTTAAAACTCACGCTGGGCATGTGTGCATGCGTGCCCAAGATCCCAAGAGGAGAATGGAGGAGAAAGGATTGTGGCGTGGCCATCCCCCCTGGGGGGTGATTTCTCGCTTTCTGTCTGTCTGTCTCTGTCTGTCTGGCGAGCACACACGCCCTATGGCAAAAACCTCTCCAAAAACAAAAAAGCATGGGATGAGATATATGGAGAGCTGGATTATAATCCTTGGAGTCACCTGGGAGACACAACAGAGTCAGGACCTAACTCGGAGTTGGTGCGTGCTATCCCCGGGGTATTTCTCTTTGCTTCCCCTGCTAAGGTCTGAGTTCCCAGCTGGCCCTGTGGACGGTTTGAGTCTCAGACGTGGTGGCTTCTAACTTGGCTTCTAATTAAACCAAGGAGTTGCCAGAATGGTGGGTAAATCCTCTTCCTATCTGGGCCTACATTTCCTCATCTGCAGATACAAAGGCTCCTCCCAGAAATATAATTCTCCAGTGTTCAGAAATACTTGTGTTGAAGTGAACCAGATTAGAAGCAGCAGCTGGGAGCTGAGGTATGTGTGAGGGGGGAAGAGGGACGCCATCTAAAAGGAAGCTGAACTTGAATTCCACCTGTTTCCCAGCGACAACTCCTCTATTCCGCTACTGCTAGTTCCTCCAGACCTGATTCCCCCTCCACCCCCAGGAGGTTATAACCTCCTTTTCTAGCATAACTAATCACAGTCGTTCCCACCTCCCAACTGGACAGGCCTCCCTCCCCCCCACACACACAGCTGTTGCCTTCTCTGAGCCTGGAATGAGGGAAGCTAGTGTGGGGAAATTCTAACAGAAAGTAGTGGAAATGACCGGCCCGAGACACCAGCCAGTAAAGCCCTTCTCCATCTTGTGAAAAATACTCCCCTTTCTGAGATTAATTTTCCCTTCTCAGTAGCTAAACCACCTACCTTTATGCAAATGTTTGAGAATCACTTCAGACAGAAGCTTTAACTTTCAGGAAGCCATGGACTTCTCTGAAACTGTGGTGACATTTATGAACTTTATCTCTAAGAAAAGGTGACAAATGCATGAAATCTCACAGGAAATTTTAAGGGGTTCCCAGACCGTCTGCGAATCACTGCTTAAGAACCCCTGACCTAGGTAGAATACCTGGCACGTGGTAAATGCTATGTCATTTGCTGAAGAATGAATTAACAAATTCATTTCTTTTATTTGAGAGGAGTTTTGTTGTTGTTGCCAGTCACTGGAGAGACAGGCCGATAGCGAGAAACCACTCCGGGATATGTATGTGTGTGTGTGTATGTGGCCATGCCACAATCCCTTTTCCAGTCTCCTCTTGGGATTTTGGGCATGCACACACATGCACCCGGCATGTTTCAACCTGCAGGGTCCAGGACTCAGGGTCCAGAGCCTTAACCATTATGCCACCTGCTGGTTCCTGATAAATTCATTTCTAAACTGAAGAAGGGAACCAACATTTGTTGAGGGCCTAAATAGCACCATGAACTGGACACAAATTATTTTTTACCTTCACAGCAGCTCTATGAGGCATGCATTATTAACCCCTTTTTGCAGTTTGAGAAAAGTGAGGAGCAGAAATAATAAGCTCGTTGTTGAGGGTTATAGAGCCAGCAGAGACAGGATTTTAATGCATGCCTGTCTGTCTGAGGTGGTCTTTTGATGAAGATCAGTCCCTCAACAATTCTCTAAGTAACTGTAATGGTATTCTCAAGGTTCAGAAAAGTGCCACAAAGGGGCAAACTGAAGCCTCTCCCCTGATCTTCCACGTAGAACAGAGATGGCAACCCGAAGTCTATTCTCTGACGTTGAAATCAGCCTCCTAGATGCACCTCCAAAATAATCAAAACCCATCTCTCATCATAACACAACAGTAGTACTCAATTGTACAATCATGTTTGCGCTGAGCTTCACGCGTTACAAAACCCCGATGGACTGTAATTACACCATTTCACAGATTAAGAAACTGAGAGGAAAGCGTGGCCTAGTAAGCGGCAATGTGGAACATTTCCCCCAAATTTCTAGTTCTTAGCGCTTCGCCAAATTGGACCAGGAGACTCCCCCCGCCGCGGGCTTGGCTTCCTCGATGTCAGCAATCTGGCGGGGCCTCTGCCCTGCAGAGAGCAGGAAGAAGGCAGCCATAGGCGAAATTCTCTCACTGCAGGGGCCAAAGTGGGGCAGAATCCCCGCAGCGGGAAGGCCACTCCGCCGAGCGCAATTCCACCCCCGCTGCTCCCCCTCCGATCCTCTCCCACCCTCCCCAGCCGGACCCCATCCCTTCAGCCGACCAGGCCAGCTCTTTCCTTGTTCCCACCCCCACCCGGGGAGACCCCAGTGCCCTGCAGCTCACCGCGCCCGGGTACTGCTCCCTCTGCCACGCCTGTCAAAGCTCGGCTAACATCCGGCTCGGCGGAAGAACGGGAACCGCCCCCTCCCGGACTCCTCATTCCCCAACCACTTCCGCCACACCTCCAACCCACTTCCGGCCCACTGCCCGGTCCAAACATGGCTTTTCTAAGAGCCCTGCCCCATTTCCTGTACTTGCCAGTCTACGTGCGCGCCTGCGGGAAACACACAGCATAACTGTCCGATTCATCATTCAAAAAAGGAGACGGCTGAAACCATTGGTTCCGCTTTCCCGGATACTCGAAAACCTGGTGGACCTCCGGAGTCCTAGGTTCGTATTGTTCTCGAACAGACTTTTGCCTCACAAGTACTTCCAAACACTCGGTCCTGTGCACCAGTGGGGTCCGACTCTTACGATTCTTTCCTGAAAGGAAATTTGGAAATCAGTGATTGTTTCTGGTAGGACCTGAAGAGAGGACGCTCACTTCCGGCGGAGGGACTCTTTCTAACCCGGAATGGAGGAAGCCGGGGGGCTGCTGTTGAAAGGGAAGAGACGGCAGTTGGGTGAGTGACCTGCTGAGTCTGTGACCGTCCGCTCTGGGCTAGGTGGACTTAATTTATCTGGTCAACTCTCGCCCCTCAGTCCCTTCTCCTTCGGAGCCAGGATTCTCCTCCGGCGCCCTCCGAGTCGCCGAGTGCCTCTCGAGAGCCCTCGAACCCTCAAAGCTTTCAGGGGCTCCGGTGGAGCCTTCATAGACCCGCAGGCTCCCGAAGCCCACGGTTTCCTCCTGCATCTTCCCCTCCCCTACGCCGTCTCGGCGGCTTCCTCACGGTTCCCCTTTCCCTGCAGCCCCCCAGCCGCGCCCGGGCACAGCTTCGG